GGGGAGGGGAGGCCTGCGGTAGCTGCCCACCATAAGCATTGCAAATGAATCATTAGCCTTCATCCTGCAATCTAGGTCAGGATGGAGCGATGGGAGGATGGGATGGCTTTTAAATCTGCTGTAGGCTCCCATCAATCTGCTTAGAAGGCACGAGAGGCCCAGTTACGCTGGACTGGAACATTCCAAGGGGAACAGAGACACTCTCACCTGCTGTAGGGACCATTACCCGAGCCACAGAGTCATCAAAAATAGAGAGGGCTGTGCCATCAGATGAATTACACTTAAACACACGTAGACTTTAAGCTTTCCTTGATCTGCTTTTTAAGACCTGAGCAGGATTTGTCAGACCGATCTTTAAAAGAGAGACACTCATCTTCCAGAAGAATCCAGAATATATGGATTCTTTCCTTTAAAATACAACAGGCTCCTGCACCCTGGGTGTGGATAGGGACTTTGCAAATCACCTCCCCATGTTGCAGAAGAAGATAGGAAATGCAAGTATCCTCCAGCAAACCATGGTTTGTTTTTCTTTTGGCTTTCTTTAAAGATTAGGGGGTTTGTATACTATGAATAATTCATCAAATAAAGCAGAAACAAAACAAATTGACTGGTGACTGCCACCTGATAAACTAAACTTGCACCTAAGGCCCTTGTCAAGGGCCATCTTCTTCCCTCAATATTAGCATAGGAGGATGCTGTTTCCAGGAGCTCAGGATTAGTGTGTCCTTCCTCAGAACTGCTTCTACCAGCTTTAATATGATTACTTCCTGGACATGTTATAGACTTAGTTCACTAGGTCAAAGTCCCTGCCACTTTTCCTAGGTTCTCTTCCCTCAACCCACACAAGCTGGCTCTGTGTATTTTTCTAGTCCCAAAAATACTGCTACAACTAGAGGGTATAAGTAGAAACATCTGAATTTCAAAAATTCAGTCTAAGCAAAACACCAAACGAACCAGGCAGGACAGGCTACTTCTTTTAACTTTCAGTAGATGTTTTCATTTGCTTATTTTAATTGTCACATCATAATTGTGTCTAGGTATGGGACAGCCTGTGGAAATTCAATGTGCATTCACAATGTGCAACTATCAATTCAGAGTAATTAGTAATTTCGGGTCCTTAAATTTTTATAATTTCTATATGTTAGAAAGCCTTCAAGCTCTTCTTTGCCAGTTACTTTGAAAAATAGAATACATTGCTTTAGATTACTGTTGCCCTAAGCTACTTATTTCCTTTATTTGACAAAAAAAAATAATAAGAAAATTTTTAAAGTACAAATATGGTATAGGAAAAATGTGTGACAAGAAAAAAGAGACCTGGGTTTTGTTCTATACCTCTGAACTTAGTACAAATCAACCTCATGGTTCTAGATGGAATTTTTGCATATCTCTAGGCCTTGCTTTTTTCTTTATATGCATCAGAAGGCGTCAGCCAGCTCCCAGGTTCTGTTGTTAGCTTCACTGTCCAGATACCACCTCCAAATTTGTTTTTTGCAAGACAAGGTAACTGCAGAAGTATCTGCAGTTATTTCCAAAGATGTGAACTGACGTTCACAGAAAAGAGAAGCGCTTCTGAAGCTGCTGAAATTGATAAAAAGCTTGCAAATGAGGGAGTCTCACTGCAGAAATGATCTTCCAAAAACAGTGTTGAATGACTTTAGATGAAGACTTTATAAACCTTGAAGCTGTATTTTGTTCAATTTTGACTCTCTCCCTCTCCCTCTCTTTCTCTCTCTCTCTCTTTCTCCATCCCTCCCTCAACGTTACTCAAAAGGCCTGCAGAAAACAGCGATATCAGATACCCAGACAAGAACAAACTTAGCTTCTTATTTGTCTGAATATTTCACTGGGGATGGAGTTTTGTATTCCGAAGCTGGAAGATGATAGAATATTCTATTTCAGGCATCTTTTTTTTTTAAAGCCATTTAAAGTACTGCAGAACGTTATTTTGATTTCTGCCACAGGATAAAGGGCTCCTCCTGAATGCAAACAACAAGCAAAGAATGCGCTAGAGGCTCCGCCATCATATTAAAAATTAAACCCGGCTGCATTTCATAATGGGCTGGCTCTCTCTCTCTCCCTCTCTCTCTCTCTCTCTCTCTCTCTCTCTCTCTCTCAGCACAGCTTCCATCTTCTCACGGTGAAGGACAGCACGATGGCTGTTCTTCATGGTTAACACTAGAGCATCAGCTGAGGGAGGTCAGAACCCTGCTTCTCTGAACAGAGAACCACAAATGTCACTCACACATGCCACGGCTTGGCAAATAATATATTTCTTTCCAGTCTCCTGTCCCTTCCGTTTACCCATCCTCGTGCATGTGCTAAGCTGAAGGGCACCTCTGGGTCTTCCTTCCTTCCTTCCTTTGGTGGGACCAGCAGGAGGCATGCCATTCACAATGAATTCAAAAGTGCTCCTCTTTTGATTTCTGTTGTCTTTATTTTAACCTCAGGAAGGGGGAGAGATTTAACTCAGTCTTCACCCCAGGCTACGCTAATACTTAGGTCATGTCTGAGCTCTCAGGGGGAAACCCTGCTTTATCCCATCCGAGGGGCAATGGTGTCTTTTCAGTGGAGCTGTACAGCTGTCCAGCCATATGGGCCCCAAACAGCCCAGTCAATCCGATTTGGGGAGGTTTTACAATGTAATTTCTTAACGTGTTAGTATTTGGGGTGAGTTTGATCAGGCGCATAGACAGCCCTTAAGCCCAAGGGTTTAGGTTTTAAGAAGCCATTACAAATGGCCCAGCATCCACTCAGACTGGTTAAAAACAGATATGAAATCTGTGGCTGGGGGAGGGACGGGGACTCCTGACCCCCTGGTTGGAGAAAGTCCCAGGGGTATGCTCTAACTATTAATTCAGCATCAGCTGCCGTATCTACCCTCCCCCCCCTTTTTTTTCTCTCTCTCCTTTTCTTCTTTAACCCTGGGCTCATCATTTAAGGCGTTCCCACTCGGGCCTGCAGAGCCCTGTTACAAAACCAGGTCTCCTCTTCCCACCCCCCACCCCCCGCGCGTGCGCGCGCGCCCGCCCCACGCCGCAAGATGAGAGAGCCAGTATCCCGCAAGGCCGCAACGGCGCAGGAGAACTGCATTGAAACCGTCCCCGAGCTAAACAAAACCAGGCCCGTCTGACAGTCGAGCCAAGGACGGCAGCCTCCGCGTCCCGTCGCTTTCCAGTCAAAACCGACTGGACTTCGAGACTCAGCCCAGTCCCTCCCTGGTGCAGGGGTTCGAAACTGCCTGCCAAGGAATTCTTCATAGACAGAACATAGAACAGCCCTAAATCTAAAAACCTTTTATCAAAATAGTGGAAGGCAAGCCAAGTTACCCCTCCTAGATCTTGTCACACACCCCCCCCCCGAGAGAACTACAATTTGGTGGCGACTATCATCAGAGCGGTCGGTGTTCCCGGAAAGATAGCCTGGTGGTGACCTTTGCCAACCAACCACTTTTTTTTTTTTTTAATTAAAATCGGTCACAATCTAGTTCTTGCAACCCCTCGCAAGGTTCTCAGTTTTAGAAATTTACCCCCCCCCCAAAAAAAATGCTTATTTCCTAAGCTTCTAGCCGCCCATTGTCGAGGCAGAAAAAAAGCAAGAAGGGGAGGTTTTGTGACAGCCAAACCCTAACCTAACAATTGACAGAAGCAGGAACGGCCTTGAATCCAAGCAGGCGTCCCAGGAGATCCGTCCGGGCTAGGTAGGGGCCTCGGCCACCACCCCCACTGACAGCGGCCGCACTTAAGCTGCCTCTGGCTGTCCGAGCTGGTCCCACGTCTAGATGTCCTGAATCCAACACAGCCCAAGAAACAGTTCTGGGGTTTGGTTTGGTTTGGTTTGGTTTGGGTTTTTTTCTTTTTCTTTTCTTTCTTTCTTTCTTTTCTTTTTTTTTCTTTTCTTTTCTTTCCTTTAAGTCATCAAAGAAAAGCAGGCGTAGGGAAAGCAGATGGGCCTGCGTGTGCGGGTCGCGGCTGCCGCAGTGGCCCTTTGGGAAGACAGATTTCTCATCCCAGGCGCGGAGGGCTCGGGTGGGGGAAGGTCTTTTTTTTTTTTTTTTTTTTCTTTCTTTCTTTCTTTCTTTTTGGTTTGCTCTTATGGGGACATTCATTCTGGGTCCTTCCTTAAGGCCACAGCTAACTCGGTACTCTCGGAGAAAAAAAAAAAAAAAACAGTCACCCGGCCACACAACTACAACAAAAGGCGCCTCCCCGAAGTGGCTCTCCAGGTCCGCAGGACGGGTGGCCGGACGTGGAGACGCACTTTTGTGCCTCGGTAATCTCGGCCGTCCATCTGGCCCCGGCGGGGCGAGGGCCGGCGGGAGGGCGCGGGCAGGGGAGGGGCGCGCGCCCGCCACGGGAGGAGCGCGAGCACGCGCGCCCGCTCTCCTTCACTTTCACCTTGACTGCGGAGGGTTTGGAGGGGGGGTTGTGGGGGGGACGACGACGAGAGATTGTGGTCCTCCATCCCCCCACCCCCACCCTCCGCCCTTCGTCTTCCCACCCCCGGCACCGTCCTGCCCAGACGCCAGCCCGGGGCGGGGTGGGGAGGAGGGAGGAGGAGGAGGAGGAGGCTGCACCGGCGCTCGGGTCGCCGCACCGCCCCGCAGCCGCGCGCGCGCTCTCTCCTCCTCCTCCTCCTCCTCCTCCTCCTCCTCCAGCGACGGGCGACCGCGAGCGCAGCGGCGCCGGGCTCCATCCATCCTCGCCAGCCTCAGCCCGAGCCGCAGCTGGCGGAACAACCCCCCCACACACACACCCTTGGCCATTTCGGGCTGGGGGACCGACGAGCCGCCGCCCCGAGCTCCCTGTTCCGTCGGCCGGAAGGTCGAGGGACCCCCCGAGTGGGCTGGCGGCGGTGTCGCCTTAGGAGGAGAAGGTGGACGGGAGGACGCGGAGCGATGCAGGCAGGTGGAGGATCGAGTCCGCCCGGAGGACCTGGGCAGGGTCGGGGGGGGGGTGGCCCGGGGTGAGTGGCTTCGAGGGGGTCCGCTGCGGTGGCGACGGATGTGGGTGCGGCGAAGGCGCCCCCCCTTCTCCCTGGCTCTAGAGGGGTAAACGGAAACGCCTGGAAGGGACGGGAGGGGGGTGCCAGTCGCCACCTCCGGCCTCGGCTTTCCCGCTCTGGAGAGCACCCCCACTTTCTCACTTTCCCCCCCAAATCCGCATTTTTTTCCCTTGGCACAGCCCTCCCGAACACCGATGAGAGAGGGAGAGGGAGAGAGAGAGGGAGGTGCCCGGGGGCAGTGAGAGTGACGTGTGTTGGTGCAGAGGGGGTGGAGGGCTGCGGGCCGGGCTCTGTGGACCGACTCCTAATCCTCTTGTTTTCGGAACCGTCAGCAGATGTGGCTCCTCTTAGCTGAGTAATCCGTTAAAGGAATAAATAATTTTAAAAAGAGGACCTCGGCCTCGGCCGACCAGGACGGCGAAGGGGGCTCGGCGCTCTGGTAAGGCGGAAAGGTTCTAAATTCTAGGCGTCCCTCTCTCTCTCTCTCTCTCTCTCTCTCTCTCTCTCTCTCTCTCTGTCTCTGTCTTCCTCTCTCAGTTCCCCCCCCCCCCCCCCCAGCCTCCCCCCCCCCACCCTTCTCCCCCATCCCCTGCAATCCGCACTCGACGCGAGTTCACGCGCGGGGCTGGATTTCCAAGCTGCACTGCAACTTCTCGGCGGCGCGTTATTATTATTCATCCGAGGGTGCAGCCTCTGCCACCTTCGCCTCCTGCGCTAGCAGCCTTCCCCCCACGGCCGCGGCCACCGGCAGTGCGCTTTCTCCCGCAAGCTCGCTCGCCAGCCGCAGAGGAGGCTTCTGGCTTTTTGAGGGATTTTTTGGTTTTTTGGGGTGTTTTTTTTTTTGTGTTTTTCTTTTTGTGTTGTGGGTTTTTTTTGTTTTTTGTTCTGTTTTTTTTTTTTTTTTTTTTTTTTTGGTTTTTGGTTTTTGGTTTTTTATTCTCTTCAGAACCGTCACCGCGACGCCCGGTTTTACAGTTCGATTCTCCTGCGGCCAGGTGGGGCGGCCACCAGCGCCTGCTCGCCCCGCTCTTCCCCTCGCCCCAGCCGAGGGAGCGGTTGACTGGGGCCGCTCCCTGCCGGCGGGACGGCCTCCAGCGTCATTCTCCCGCATTCATCCGCAGAGATACCCCCCCGCCCCCGTCCCTTTTTATTCCAGCAGATCTGCCTCTGCTTGCAAACGGGCTGGAACACCGCGGACCGCAACCGGGTCCTTTTCCAAGGAGAAAAAAAAAAAAAAAAAAAAAAAAAAAAAAAAAAAAAAGATGGGCATCTTGTGCGGACTCCGGGACAAAGCGCCTCGGGCTCGGCGAGGAGGGATGCGCGCGGCTCCGGCTCTGCGGTTGGAGATCGGCGCTGACCTGCGGACCTCCGAGGGTTCGGACTCAGTTTTATCCATCTCTGTGGCGTGCTCTGAGAGGGTCGGCGGGAGGTAGAGACTGCGTTCCCCCACCCCACCCTGCGGGGGGTGGGCGGGCAGCCGAACGCGAACCGAGCCGGTTGGGGTTAACTTGTCCGGGATGCCCTCTACCTCGCCCTTCTCGAGATGCGCGAGAGGGTCGCGGGGATGGCTTAGAGAAGGGAAGCAGGGCGAGGGCGAGGGCGCGAGCGGGGGGTGGGACGGGCAGGTGAGGGAGGGCTGTGGGGTTCGGCACCTTGCTCGCTCGGGTGCCCTGGGTGGACCGCGCGGGGAGTAGCAACGTGGGTGTCCGCTGAGAGCGGGCTTGAGACGTTGACACGTTACAGGCAGAAGGTGACTGGACGAGTGTGTCAACACGGCGGCGGTTGGCAGAGAGGGAGGGGGGCCTCAGAAGAGTGTTTTATTGTCCCCCGTGGGCTCGCGGGGCTCTCCCCCATCCCCTCCAGCTACATGATATGGGGGTGACCTTTTAAATCTACGCCCACCCTTTACCCCTGTAATACTGGCTGACAGGGGTGGGGTGGGGAGCATGTAGGGGTGCTGTCTCTCTCTCTGTCTCTCTCTCTCTCTCTCTCGTCTCTGTCTCTCTCTCCCCTCCCCCTTCCCAGTCTCCCTCCTCCTTCTGTCCCCCCCTCCCTCTCCCTTCACTCCTCCCTCCCTCCCTCGCTCTCCCTTCGATCCCCCCCCCTCCCTCGCTCCCTCCCTCCCTGCTGCATTTTGCATGAGCTATCTAGGTCATTAGCATTTTAGCGTATGCAAGACTTGACAAGGCTGATGAGGGGGCCAGATGGGCCTCGCTCTTATTTATTTATTATTTTTTTTCTTTTCCTTTTTTTCCCCCTCCACCACTTGGGACCTAAGCGAGAGGACTGCCGCAGGAGAGTGCCGGAAGGCTGATTCCCACAGATCGCGCCCGCCCGGCCAGTCTGCACCGGGACTCAACCCTCGAGGTAAAGACCGCGGCTACACGCCCTGCCTAGGCAGCGGTTGCTGCTCCCCTGCTGCCCGTCTCTTTCCCCGCGGTCCTCTCCCTCTCCCCTAGCCCCCTCAGTTTCCTAGGCGAAGCTGAAAGCGACCTGGGTGGGTAGGACTCCGCTGCGGTGGGGCGAGGTAGGGTTGATGTTTTCTCATTGTCTGGAGCTGCAGGGGAGACGGAGCGCGAGGAGAGGAGTGAGGGGTAATTAACACGGGGGAGGCACCCCTCCGTCTCCCACTTCCACCCACACCCCGAACCCTCCACCCCCTCCCCTCTGCAGGAAAAAGCTTGGAAACGAGAGGATGCGGGAGAACAAAGAGCCTTCGGAGGACGTGGCTGTTATCTCATTGTCTGTGACTGGGGGAGCTGCGGTAGGAAGGGTGCGGTGGTCCTTAGCTCATCGCGTCCCCAACCCCACACCCTCCCTGCTGTCAGTGCGCACGCAGACGCCAGCTTTTTCTTTCTCATCCCTCGGTTTTTTCATTCCATCTTCTCCCCATCCCCTCCCTTTCTTTCACCTTTCCTTCCTTCCTCCTTCCCTCCCTTCCTCCTCCCTTTTCCCTTCCTCCCATCCTCCCTCCCTTTCTTCTTTTCATCCTTTCTTCCGTCTTTCTTTCCTTCCTTCCTTCCTTCCTTCCTTCCTTCTTTCCTTCCTTCCTTCCTTCCTCAGGAGAAAGGCCTCTCTCTCCGTGTTCACAGCGGACCTTGATTTAAATGTCCATACAATTAAGGCACGCGGTGAATGCCAAGAATGGGGCTGTCTGAGCACCTTGGGTCCTCGAGGGCCCGCCACGGAAGGATCGACCCAGCCCAACGCCCTGGGCAGACTTCAGCGCTGCAGCTGCAGGCACCACAGGAGGGGGAGCAGGCTTCTGAGTGCCTTGCATTGCAGCCTTTAGGGTGGGGTGTGCGGCTACCGACCGAGAGAGGGGCTTGTGCGGATGCAAATAGAATCTAGGAAGCGAACAACCTATTCTGTGACAGAAACACTGATCTATGCAAGCCGAGTGGTGGTGGGAGTGGGAGATAGTCTGGGAGAAGCTGCAGAGTAAAGAGTTCAGGTTAGCATCTAGGAACCTGCTCGTTGAAGGCGGACGCCTTCCTCTCCCTCTGTTTTTGTCCCGGCTCTCAATTTGCCCTTAAACAAATACTAATAATTGGGTACCCATGTGACTGTCAGACTACCCCGGGGCCTGGACTGCAGTTACATTGTATTCTGCTTAGGGTTGATGGGGCAGTCTTTGGGGAAAGCTGTTTGTTACCCTTTGGTGGAGATTTGTGGGCATTCGCAAGCTTAAGCAGATCTCTGGGTGAGAGCAATCAGCAAATTTGCTCATGGACAGCGCACAGACTCCATCAAAGCTGACAGCTAGCCCCTGGCTGCAAGGAGGGCCTCCCAGCCTCCTCCAGGCTGTGACTGGGATTCAGGCAGAGATCCAGAAGCTGCGGGAAAGAGAGGCGCAGTACCCTGCATCCCCCAAAGGGAGGGCTCTTCCGTTGCTCTTAAAACCCAGACAGAAGGAAAAACAGCATGGGTACAGGTGGGGGCCCCGAGGAAAGTCTGTTTTGAGGCAGGCTGTCCAGGGACAGAAAGGGTTAAGCCTCCCTCATCCTGAAGCACCTGCTTCCCAAATCAGCCCCCAGCAGCAGCTGGTCCTGGAGGCCCCCCCAACACAGTTCCATCCCATCTCTGTCTCAGTATTCACCGCCAACCTGCAATGGATGGTTGGTGGCCTGGTGGCTGACCTAAACTCATTAATTTCCAGGTGGAGAAAATGGAGGAGGGGCAGGTCCCAGCAGCAGAGGGAGGGAGGGAGAGGAAGCCAAGAGCTGGCCTTCCCACCCAGGAAGCAGGCTGTAGCCCTTCCCCCTGCTGTGGTGCCAGAGGCCTGCCTTTGCAAGGCCAAGCCCATAAAGGATGTTTAGGAGTTTAATCTGATTCCTAACGCAGTAATCAGGGTCTAAAAGAGCATCCGTTGAAGTTAATGGAGGACTCTCTTCTCAAAAGCCTCAGCCTCATCTAGCCTAGTAAATTAGTATACTGGGGTATCATGGATCAGTACCCTCTCTGGCCTAGTTTCCTCACGAGCATTCATTTATTTCTTGATTATCTACTCTATGTCCGCCTTTGCGATTATCTTCGTTTTAATTCCTAATTTTCCTCACAGAAGGAAGTGGTAGAGGTAGCCTGGCCAAGGTTAAATTCACCACATCCCGAGTAGGCATTCCCAGAACCTTCTCTGCTCTGCATACAAGAGCCTCAGCCTGCTGGCTCTTGCAGAGGGAAAGCTACAGTGCGCACAACATGAGGGCTGCAGGAGCTCTGGGCAAGCTGAGCTGCGAGGCAGAAAGAGAAAGGCTTAGCAATAGCTGTCCTGAGAGACACCATAGCCGTTGCCTTCAAAAATCTACCTCCCTTGAAATGAGGACCTGGGATGCCCCCGTGCTTTATGAATAGGTTAGGAAAAAGCAGCCAGTGTGCTGTACCATTTTGAGGGTACACCCATTACCCCCCTCCATGCCCAATGAGATTTTATTTTGCCTTCAAGCAATGGTCTACTCTGCTGATGGCCCAACCCTCCTGTACCACAAATGTCCCCATTAGCAATCCTCTGCTCAGTAATTGCTTCCCCACGATTCCTTCAAATGTCCCCTCGTCCTTCACCAATACTTCATCTTACGTAACCTCCAGATGCCTCCCCAAGTAAGGTCCTTTTAGGTAGAAACCCAATATGCTTTTTCTCTGAGAGTCCCAACCGCAGGCACCATCCATAAGGCCTGCCTGGGATCTGATACAGCAGATCTATACTGGGAGGGATGCATTTGTATTTTATTGCTTACGTAAACTCTTGTACCAGAAAGCATTATTAGTGTGTGGGAGTGTTCTGGGCTGGCTAATCTGTGCATACCAGTGTGAGTATGTGCCCAGCAGGTCCGCGTCCCAGAAGGGGTTTATATGTAGGACTCTAATGACCTCAGCCCCAGGTATAATTACAAGCCCCCTTTTGTTCCACCAAATGAAAAATCAGAGCCAAGGTCAGCCTGAGCTGCCTCCTTCCTCTACATTTGCTGCCCTTTTCTGCCCATCAGTAATTATGCAGAGACCCTGAAGCTTTCTGCTCTCTCAGGGCATCTGGCATCTCTTGAATTCTCAATATCATCTCCCCTGCCTGTTTGACCCTTCTAATTACATCTTATGGCTAAAATGAAAGGAAACATGCATGATCTAACGGTAGGGTGAGGCTGCCATAGTTTGATGGCTGAGTACGCTTTCGTTTTCCCTTGGATTTGTTCACACCTTCTACCGCCTTAGTCCCCATGAGGTACAAGCTCCTGTATTTCTTAAGGAACCCAGTACTTAGAATAGATTTAGGAATGTACCAAAGGACTAATTGCAATTACTATTTCTCTCCCCTGCCAGAGGCAGCCCAGATCTGTCTCAGTGGAAAAGAATCTATTCTTTAACAGAGACAGTGGTAAAGTCTTTGAATTTCTTCTTCTGAGGGAGGGATACACAGGAAACTTTCATCAGATAACTAATATGTGGGGAGGGGCGTGTCCCCAACTATCTTGGTGCACACCTATGAAGCCATAGATTTTTCTCACACCATCTCCATCACTAATATGGAAGGCACTGAACCACAAAAGAAAGAGCAACCATCCACACCAGCTCTACCAGGAAATTTCCTCTCCCGCTGTTGAACTTATGTAATACCCACCCCCCATGTCAAGCTTAGGGGGCAGCTGCAGAATTCCTGCCTGGGACAGATGGAGCCTCCCCTTCCTAAGCTACCCTGTGGGTGGTTTTTTTGAGCCCATGAGTCAACATGGGCAGACTGTAGTGTGTGTACGTGTGTGCGTGTGTGAGGCTTGGCGGGCTGATTCACACTGAGGATATCAACAGCAATGCTGTGAATTACGGTACCTAATAAAGATTTTTTTTTCTTTCAAGACCCATTTATAGTTCTTTCATTGGGTATTTTTGCCAAGTCCTAGCCAAATTGACTCAGGTTTTTAATACTTAATTGCATCGCACAAACAAACGTGCAAAAAAAAAAATATTTTTTTTTCCTAAGCTGAATTTGTCAAAAGCAGTCTTTGTGCCTGCAGATTTTGAAGTGCCAGATTTAGGTGGGGGTGGGGCAGCAGGCCTTATGGAGAACAAGAAAAGTTCCAGGTCAAAGAGGAAGTGTCAGCAACTCTCTCTAGCTGGGTTCATCTTTCATTTTCTCTCTTTTTGTCTGTAAATAAAAACATGACCTAGCAACAAGGGCCTGCTGGGGTTATAGCCACAAAATCCCCAAAAATAAATCCCATGGTCCTTAGGAGTGAGTTCACTGGGGCTAGAGTCATTTTAAATTCAAATCAACTCTTTCTGCTGCTTAGACATATGACCAAATGGCCAGACCTGGGACCCGGGAGAAGAGATGGCTACATTTTTGAGGCTTTGTGAGGAGTTTTCAAGGTGGCCTGCTTTGCAAGCCACAGATAGGCAGGCTCTGTGGTAGCCTAGTGCAGGCTGGGTCCCAGGCTAGGCCACTTCTAAGAGCAGGCTTGCTTTCTTCTCTTCTACTTCTGCTACATGAGACATGTACTCGAACCAGCACTGACTTCATCTTTTTTGTGCTCCCAAATTTTCTGTGACCCTTTTCCCAATCATGCGGATTTGGGATACTGGAGATTGGTGTTGTCCCCAATTTTTTGTTTGTTTGTTTGTTTTAAACACTGAACCAATCCAAGGTGCACACAGAAGTGGGTTTATTTCAATCTGGCTCTGAGATTCACCCAAAGCCGAGGTCCTAATTTCTACCCTGTTCAGCCGACTACAGAGACAGTTCCTGAGTCTCCTCACCTCTGCGTCTTCAGCTCATGCTCACACCACTCCCTTGATTTCACTCTGGAGCCAGCCCACACTGAGGGTCCACCCTAGGGGTGGTTACAAAGTCCAGGACAGGAGCAGGGCGAATGGGTACACCTTCACAGAATAGCTCATGCCAAGACCATGGCCTCAGTATTGTCTCCTTTGCCATTCCCAGACTTCTACTACTGCCTGCCACCCTCCCCCAAGCCACAGCCTCTCCCAAGGCCCACCTGTCCTTTACAGTCTGCCCCTGGGACAGACCAAAGAAGGCTCCCAGAGTGCAAGAGGGGCTGGCGGTGTGTCCTAGAGGCAGTTGTAGCTAGGGGGAGGACCCTACCAGGGAAAGCCACTTTGTGGTCAGTTGCTTGCACCAGCAGGATGCTCCGGTAAAGCTATTTGCTGGGAGGGGAACAGTAGCATCTTCCCATACTGCCCTTCCCCCGCCCCACCCCCAACTGCTAACCTACCCCACCCTTGGTACACAGGGTGGTGGGGCCAAGGCTGAGGCATTTTCCCCCCACATCCTGGTATCCTTACCCCTTCTCCACCCAACACTCTAAATGAGGTAGAAGAACAAAAATCCTATACCAGAACATACTCCCCAAACAGTGCCAGTCCCAGATCCGATGCCAATGGCATGGAGCTGCTGAAGTGAGTCAGCCGAAGAGGGGAGAAGCCTGGCCCAGTCTTCCCAAACTGTAGCCATCACCGGGACAGAACGTGGTCTCTGTTTATACGAAGAATGATATCCCTAATGTTCCTCATTTTTTGCTGGGCCTACCTGAGCTCAGTTAATGAGGCAAGCAACTCTCCTAGGGGCCAACAAGCCAGAAAACAGAGATAAACTTCACACCCTGGTTTCAAGGTCATACATCAGCAAAAGCTTACCCATAGGCAAGAAATTGGCCCTGAGGTTCACAGGAGGCTCCTCTTCAGTCCTCTCCCACACGAACACAGATTCATGTGACAATATTTATTCCCATTTAATTGAGACACTAGTTTAATTTCAGATTGCTTGAGTTTAAGGCCCAGCGGGCTTTTCTGCAGCTCTTTTCCCTAGTGCTTCTATGGAAACTAATTATTGTTAATATCCAATTTTGGCATTATTATTCGTTAACCAATTATGGATCCCATAGCTGAGGCTTTGCTGCTCCTGCCTCTGCTGGCTCCTGTGGCTCTGCCCAGCTGTGCCTTCCACTGCAGCTCTCTCCTGCCCACATGAGGCACTGTGCACGGTCATTCTCTGTCTGTTCCAGCCTGGCTGTCGGCGTAGGGGTTGGGGAGTGGTGGCGCGTTCATGGCTTTTATGCCATCGAGGGAAATTTCAGCTCCTGAAGCACATGGTTTTCTTTCTTTCATCTGTCTTTTTTGTTTGTTTGTTCTTCCAGACAAGATTTCTCTGTATCCTGGAACTCGCTCTATAGACCAGGCTGGCTTCAAACTCAGAGATCTGCCTGCCTCTGCCTCCAGAGTGCTAGATTAAACCTGTGCGCCACCACCACCCAGCATTATGGTTTCCATTTTTTTAAGAAATTAGAAATTTAGCCGGGCCTGATGGCACATGCCTTGGAAGGGAGAGACAAGCTGATCTTTGTGAGTTTGGTGCTAGCCTGATCTACATAACAAGTTCCAGGTCAGCCAGGGCTATATAGTGAGACTCTGTCTAAAAATTTAAATAGATAGATAGATAGATAGATAGATAGATAGATAGATAGATAGATAGACAGACTCTGTTATGCAGCCTTGCCTGTCCTAGAACTTGATATTTAGGCCAGCCTGGCCTTGAACTCCCAAGAGCCACCTGCCTCTGCCTCCTGAGTGCTTCAATTAAAGGTGTGTACCACCATGCCTGGCTAAAACTTTTTAAAAGGAAATTTAGAGCCAGGTTCTATCTCAAAGAAAAGAAAAGAAAGAAATTAAAATTTTAAGTTTTCCCTGCTGTCTTTCACCAAGTAGCCCAAGCTGAACTCAGACTCAAGATCCTCCTGTGTCAGCCTCCCAAATGCTTGGATTGTAGGCATGGGTCCCAACCCTCAGCCCTGAAGTCATTTTGGAAGCAGCATCTTTACACTAAGTGAAAGAAACAGAACCTGACAAAAGGTTGAGACAGGGATTGTGAGTTCAAGACAGCCTCCTGAGCTACATATTTAGGCACTGTCTCACAAAAAGAGAGAAAAGTACTCTCTCTATTCAGGCTTTCTCCCACTCAATTTCCCTTAGAAAACCAAATGTGCTTCTGTCTTGTCATCTCTGAGAACTATAAGCTCACAGGCCTAAGGGAGGAAGCAGGCACTTCCCAGCATCCCTTTAAAACAGGAAAAGGAAAGCAGGACCCCTGAGGTCAGCATATTTCTTCTTTGTCTGCCTCCCATCTTCCCCCATTTGGAAACAACACTTTCCTTGCCAGCATGTAGCCTTCCACATCTCCCTTGGAGTTGAAGCCTCCCTCCCAGGCCACCTGGAGGACCAGGCCTTTCTGAGGCAGCTGGCTGGAAGCTTCCACGGCCTGGGAATCCTGTCATCAAATTTTTCATAGTGGGGGGAGTGGGTGGTGAGTGTTGTGAAGGGGGAGCTGGGACATTGTGAAGAAGGTCCCTTACACATAAGGCTCAATAAATACCACCCAAATTGGATGTGATTAAACTAGCAGCAGCTGTTCGCCTTTTCCTGCAGAAAGGCTACAATTATGCACAGGGCCTCTTAGGCAGAGTCTACATAAAATGGTCTCTCAGGGCAGGAAGGACTTGAAAACATTTCTGGGTCCAGACACATAGCTCAGCAGATAAAGTCCTCACCCCAACCCTTCAAGTCTGACCTGAGTTCAATCCCTAGGACCCACATGGTGGAGGGGAAAAAAGAAACCACACACACACACTTCTATAATGTAATTTTAATTTTTTCTTTTTTAATTTCTGGCTCTTTCATGTCCTCAGCCTGCCTCAGCTTGGCCAGGCATGTGGAGTTGTACAATAAGGAGTCTACATGCCGTGTCCCCTCATCCCAGAAAGACTTGCTAAGAGGGAAAGTTGTCTTTCCCATCCTTCCATCTTCCATACAGAATAGTCTTCCTTCTGTTCGTATTTCACGCAAGGCCTTCCCCACTGGAGTCTGCCCTCTAAAAATACATGTCAATAACAATGACCTTCTGAGCCCTACTCCCTTCCTTCAGTGCCTTCAAAACGTTCTCCATTTTCAAGAAGCGTGAGGAGGATGGCTCAGTGGTCAAGAGTACTGACTGCTCTTCCAGAAGACCCTGGTTTGACTCCCAGCATCCACATGGGAGCTGACAACCATGTATACCACAGCTCCAGAGGTGCCAACAACCTCTTCTGGCCTCTGTGGGCACAGGCACACATACAGTGCGCAGACATACATGCCGGCAAAACACTGAGACTCCAGGGCAGACTGTTCACACGACCACATGAATTGCTAGAAATTTCTTAATTTTGTCAGTGATGGTTTTCCGCCTCCAAGAATGCATAGCAAGGGAGCTCTGTGCAGCAGTTTCTTCCTTTCATTCTAATAGAATTTGTAAAAGTTATTAGGGGCCCAGTAGTTAAGGGCACTGACTGTTCTTGCAGAGGACCTCAGTTCAATCCCCATCACTCACATGTCAATGAGCAGTCACCTGGAGTCCCCATTCCTGGGATCCAATGCTCTAGCCTCCATGGGCACTGCATGCCTGTGGTGCATTTACACATATGTAGGCAAAACATATAAATTAAGTTAAACATATAAATTAAAAATTGTTTAAATCTTTTAAAAAGTCGACATGCAAGGTGATGGCCTTCCTCTCAGCATCTTCATCCAAACAAGCGCCTATACTTTGTTTTTATTTGTCTCCCTCTTCCGAGGCTCTCCCTCAGCCCTCCTGCCATCACCACCACCACTGTGCTAGGCGTTCAATCCTCCTCACAGCCATTGACAGGCTGTTAGGAGCTCCCAAGCCTTTAACGTAAACTTCCATGGTTTTGACTCCAAGGCAAGTGGATTGTCCTCCAGATTAAGGCTGTCCTGACTTGGAAGGTGTAAAGCCAGCCCTATTCTGTTATTTCGCATGACTGTGAATTACCTCCATATAATTAATTGA